CAGGGCGATGTCATCCGCATGTTTCAAGTCAAGAACTCTGTTCCCTGGGAGGAGTTCGACCCCACCGTTTGCTAGACCGGACAAAGCATTATGTAGAACATCCTCTATGACAAAGTTGAAAAGGAATGGGGATATGGGGCAGTCTTGTCGAACTCCACTGGAGACGGCGAAGGATGGCGAAAGCTGGTCTTAGGCCCTAACCCGACCTGAGGTATGATGATACAACTCTTTGAGGATCGACACATACTTCTCAGGTACTCCATTCACCAACAAATACCTCCATAGTGCGGTCCTGTCGACAGAGTCAAAGGCTGCGCGAATGTCTAAGAATACAATGACCATTGGACTTTGGTAGGCATGACGGTGCTCTAGCAGTTGATGGAGTGAAGATTTGATCGATGCATCCACGACCAGCGCGAAACCCATCCTGCTCCTCGCGGGTTTGCTCCTCACGCGTAGTGTACAATCGGTGGAGAATGACTGATGCCAACAGCTTTGATGCTATCGGGATGAGGCTTATACCCCTGTGATTGGCGCAGTCATTGCACGGACCCTTTTTGAAGATGGGGACAACAATCGATTCCCCCCACGAGGGGACGTGCTCAGTTTTCCACACTTTGGAAAACAGAACTTGTAGTTCTCTAACAAGCTTTATTCCACCACCTTCAAATAGAGCAGGAGGAAGGCCATCAGAGCCCGGCGCTTTGTGACGTCCCAAGCCTTGGATCTCCTTACGGATTTCCGTCTCAGAAGGTGGGTCTGTTGTGACGGACCATGGAATGTGTGTGGGGAGCTGACGCTGGTGGCCATCTAAACTGTGCTTTGAAGTGCTCCGCCCGGCGTTCAAGACGTCGCTGTTGATTGTGAACCGCCATCTTTGCAGATCGTTTCGCTCACACCCAAGGCTTTCTTACCGGAGACCCGGATGAGATGAAACAGCTTACGGGAATTTCCCATGGCGGCAGCACGTTCCATCTCCGACGCGCGTTTAGTCCACCAGATCTCACGGTCTCTACGTAGGCTTACGCTGAGGTTACGACTTGCTGCTTGTCGTATTTCATTATGCTCACTGCCGTTCGGGAATGATTGGCGTGCGTCCAGAAGCCAGAGATTCCGCAAAAATCCAGGGTGTCACGGCACGATGTGTCAGACCACAACTAAGTAAGCCAGCATCCTTGGTAAGCGACCAGTGCTGGTTAAGTTCATTGAGTAGGGTTGATTCTAGCTTTTCAGCTGGCGCGTTCTGAAAGACAGTTAGGCAACTGACTACAACAGGTTACGGAAGGAAAGGAATAAACGAAGGCTGGGATATCTGAGCAGTAGCCCACTTATCACTACCCACCCCACTCGATGCAATGGGCAAGGCGACCCTAATTATTCTGCGTGACAATCGATGCAGCGTGGAATTATTTTTAGTTTGTGTATGTATTCGGTTTGATGGACGGGTACTGCAGGGTGTCCAGCCACTAAGCAGACCTCTGTTTTTCGATTTCCTAGGCATAATTAAATCTTCGGCTTGACAAAAGCCATCCTGTGTAGCTCGTTGGGTCACAGAGATGCACAATCCATCACCACGTCAATGCGCTGTCTCGAAGCGATGGCACAATCAACAATTTCAAGCTACGATGGAACGAATTTTTGGATGCTATGTTTGCTACCTTTTGCAAGGCATTCTGCGAATAAATACACAAGACGGAAGAAATAAACAAAAGCAGCCCGTACAAAAGTCACTTCATTATTCAAAGCATATGCACCAAGCGAAAATGCAAGGTAAATGAGCTCAACAATAACAATACAAAAAGTTGAAGTAAAAATTATGAAAGAGATTCAACTAGAAAATTGCAAGTCTTACTTGTGTAGAAAATCAAGTCCCATTAGCAGTTGTCGCATTATATTCTTTTTGATACCCAGAGTAAAATCAATTTTGTTTTTTAAGAGGCCAGCCAGATCGTGTTCGCATATTTCGAAAAGCAGATAAAATTCGTACCTGTAATTACTCGATGGTCCGGCTACTTAATATGAACGCTTATAGATGCTCACCTCTTTTGTGACAAACGCCTCGTAGTGAGACCACATTCTCATGTGATAGCGAGCTTAGAATTCGTATTTCCCTGAGTGCGGTAACAGGAAACTAGAAAATACAAAGAAAAGCTCACAACATACACCCTCTGATTCTTGTTCTGTTTTAAGACGTTTTAATGCAAACTGCTCTTTCGATCGTTTATGTCTGGCTTTGAAAACTTCACCGAACGTCCCTTGTCCGATCTTCTGAAGAATATCATAATCGTCCACAACTAAAGTGGTCGCCTTCTTCTCTAGCTCACGATCGATGTATTTCAAAGCATCACTGTGATCGGCTTCGAGCTCTTTTAGTAACAAATCCAGCTCACAATCATCCATTGATGCCGGAGACCATCACCAAAAGCAACGCAAGTGACACGCAGCGTGCGAACAGCAGAGCAGAAGCACCAGCCAGTATTGGCACAACAGGCAGTCCAGGTCAGGTCAGGACAGGACAGGACAGATCACAGGACGTGCGGTGGAGCCAGAAGCAGTCCAGTTTCTTGCACCAATGAGCTTGGGAGCACCACGGCGTTGCGACAATTGTATTATTTCCTTCACGAAGACGTGGGTGGATGCGGTTCTGGAAAAGGAAAATGCACTTCTGATGGTTCCTCGGAGTGACAGTACACGTCT